CCAAGTGAAGCCCTCCGCCACCTGCTGTGCAGCTGCTCGGCTGGGTGTAGGTCCTGGGCAGCTTACGCAGCTCCAGGGCGCTTCATGCCACACTGCCACCCCTCTACATTGCAGAATCTCATTCTGATTTCATTGCTGGCTTCTCATGGGGAGAAGAATCCACGACCTCCCTGTTAATAAGTTTCACAGGGATGTCACGTCGGCCGTCTGTTTTGTGTACCTGCGTGTCTGCCATTACAAACAGGTGCCCCCCCGTGACTGTGTTTTCTCGCTCAGTGTGATACAAGCTGTTTCTGTATAGGGGACTTCTGGTGGAGAGCAGCTTTTAGAAATTAAGATCTGAATTCAGTTTTTAAGAGTGAAAAGTATCGTATCTCCCATTAGGGATTATATTATATTTGAAAGCACTAATATGGCTAAAAATACAAAATGTTGTTTGTAATGATTCAGTCTACACTCTCATTATAATAATTATTTTAAATTTTCATTAGTTCTTTGAGAGGCAGACAAACAGGAACAACACAATCACACCCACCGGGTGCCCCTTCAGATGCTTGAGGTTTCCCTTGCTAGAGCCAAAGCTGGGGGTGGGGACCCCGTCCAGGTCTCTGGTGTGGCAGAAGTCCAATGCCCCAGGTCCCCACTGCTGTCCCTGCTGCCCGGGTCCACGGAGGCAGGAAGATGGGAGCAGGGGCAGACCCAACATGCACACCCTGGCATCACAGTACGTGCCATGGCACATCGCAACCAGTATGGTTTCTCTTTTTTCTTTCCTTTTTAATTTTCTTTTCTCTTCTCTCTCTCTCTTTCAGATTTATTTTTATTGGAAAAATAAAGATATACAGAGATGAGGAGAGACAGAGAGGAAGATCTTCCATCCACCAATCTGAAGCCAGGAGCCTGGAGCCTCTTCTAGGTCTCCCACACAGGGGCAGCGTCCCGAGGCTTTGGGCCGTCCTCAAGTGCTTTCCCAGGCCACAGGCAGGGAGCTGGATGGGAAGCGGGGTCACCAGGAATACAACCAGTGCCCATATGGGATCCCAGCACATGCAAGGTGAGGACTTTAACTGGTAGGCCACCACACCAGGCCCCCCTTTTAAATATTTGCTGATATTTGCCCCCTTCTATTTGCTGATTCACTGCCAAAATGGCTGCAGTGGCCAGAGATGGACTATGCTAAATCCAGGAGCCTAGAACTTAAATAGCATCATAGCCTGTGTGGGAGGAATTTTAACTGACACCATACTGTTTAGTTATATTGTCTTGTTCCACTTATGTTTTCAGTCACATTAAAAGATCCCATCAGATAGGTTGCATGCAGATCCAGTGCACTTATTCCTGCTGCTGCCTGGCCTTCCATTGCCTTCTCCCTTGGAGTATCTCAAAAGCTTTGCTGTGATGAATTTCCAGTCTATAAGGGAAATTAATCAAAGTATTATACAGTATATACAGTATATAGATATATAGAAACTCAAATCTTTAGTAACTTGAAAATACAAGTTAAAATAGCAAATCTCCCTTTTCCTTCCTTCAGTGTGGTAAAATCACAGGGCTGATGGGCATGGTAATTATGATGTTCTGGGAGGCAGCATCATAGCATAACGGGTTAAGCCTGCAATGCCAGCATCCCATATGGGTGCTGGTTCAAGCACTGGCTGCTGCACTTCCTGATAAAGGGCATGGGAGAAGCAGTGGGAGACGGCCCAAGTGCTTGGGCCCCTGCACCAGTGTGGGAGACCTGGATGAAGTTCCTGGCTCCTGGTTTTAGGCCGGCCCAGCCCTGGCTGTTGCGGGTATTGGGAGAGTAAACCAGCATATGCAAGATCTGACTTCTCCTATAACTCTGCCTTTCAGATAAGTACATCATAAAAATAAATCAATAAAAGATTTCACTTGGGATGCCTGTGTCCCAACTCGGCGTGCCTAGCTGAGGGCCGCCCCCACTCCTGACACCAGCTCCTGGTGGCATGTGCCCGGGGGGCAGCTGACAGCTTCAGCAGCTGGGTCCCTGATCCCGCCCGGGAGGCTCAGTGCTGGGCTCCTGACTTGAACCTGGCCCACCCTGTTGTGTGAGCATCTGAGGAGTGAGCACGAAATGGGATATGCCTTTTGGATAAATAAAAATGTAAAAAGTTACAGAAATGCATAATAAACATTTGTAAGGATGTGAATGGTGACAAGAAAGTTTGTGTGCTATGGAAACCTATAAAATAATCACCATTCAAAGACATTGACATCTGGACAATACCTTGTAAGAACAAAGTGTATGGCACATGCAGCAGCCCCCGTTGATGTGCCGAGAGATTCCTACACAGGATGTGTGCACGAGGAACGTCCTATGGTAACAGCTGAGCAGCTGGAAGTGAAATGCTAGATTGTGCAGAAAGCACATTGAAAAGATCTTTACATAGTAATGAGAAACAGAATAATACAGCTCTTTTTTCCTTTTTTTTTTTTCTCATTTGAAAGGCAAGAAAGAAAAGGAGCAACACTGAGCTTCCCTTCACTGGTTCGTTCCCCAAATACATGTAAGAGCCAGGGCTGGGCCAGGCCCAGAACTCCAGCTGGGTCACCCTGGTGAGTGGCAGGGACTCAACGACTTGAGCCATCACCAGCAGCCCCCAGAGAACACACTGCAGGGAACTGGGTCAGAGTCAAAGCTAGAGTGTAAATGCGGGCACTGCGGTGTGGAGGTGGGCAGCACAGACACCCAGAGTGTAAATGCAGGCACTGCGGAGTGGAGGTGGCAGCACAGACACCCAGAGTGTAAATGCGGGCACTGTGGTGTGGAGGTGGCAGCACAGACACCCAGAGTGTAAATGCGGGCACTGTGGTGTGAGAGGTGGGCAGCACAGACACCCAGAGTGTAAATGCGGGCACTGTGGTGTGAGAGGTGGGCAGCACAGACACCCAGAGTGTAAATGCGGGCACTGCGGAGTGGAGGTGGGCAGTACAGACACCCAGAGTGTAAATGCAGGCACTGTGGACTGGAGGTGGCAGCACAGACACCCAGAGTGTAAATGCAGGCACTGCGGTGTGGAGGTGGCAGCACAGACACCCAGAGTGTAAATGCGGGCACTGCGGTGTGGAGGTGGCAGCACAGACACCCAGAGTGTAAATGCGGGCACTGTGGTGTGAGAGGTGGCAGTACAGACACCCAGAGTGTAAATGCGGGCACTGCGGACTGGAGGTGGCAGCACAGACACCCAGAGTGTAAATGCGGGCACTGTGGTGTGAGAGGTGGGCAGTACAGACACCCAGAGTGTAAATGCAGGCACTGTGGTGTGAGAGGTGGCAGCACAGACACCCAGAGTGTAAATGCGGGCACTGTGGTGTGAGAGGTGGGCAGTACAGACACCCAGAGTGTAAATGCGGGCACTGTGGTGTGAGAGGTGGCAGTACAGACACCCAGAGTGTAAATGCGGGCACTGCGGAGTGGAGGTGGCAGTACAGACACCCAGAGTGTAAATGCGGGCACTGCAGTGTGGAGGTGGCAGCACAGACACCCAGAGTGTAAATGCAGGCACTGCGGAGTGGAGGTGGGCAGTACAGACACCCAGAGTGTAAATGCGGGCACTGCGGTGTGAGAGGTGGCAGCACAGACACCCAGAGTGTAAATGCGGGCACTGTGGTGTGAGAGGTGGCAGCACAGACACCTAACCCAGGAACCAGTTTTGTTCACTTTTCTGTTTTCTTTTATGCCACCAGATACCACTCTTTTGAAGATTTTAAATTATTTTTTCAAGATTTATCTTATTGGAAAGTCAGATTTTGCAGAGAAAAGGAAATATGAAGAGAAAAATCTTCCATCTGCTGATTCACTCCCCAAGCAGCCTCAATGGCTGGAGCTGAAATGATCCAAAGCCAGGACCAGGAGCTTCTTCGGGGTCTCCCACGAGGGTGCAGGGTCTCAAGGCTTTGGGTCGTCCTCCACTGCTTTCCCAAGCTGCAAGCAGGGAGCTGGACGGGAAGTGGAGCAGCCGGGACATGAACTTGTGCCCACATGGGACCCCAGCGCATATCAGGTGAGGATTTAGGCACTGGACTGCGTCACCAGGTCCCAGAGGCCTTTTATTCAAAGATTTGAGTGTATTTTCCTTGCATCCTTTATCTTTTGGGGATCATGACAATGATTATTTCTACCCTCTAAATCTCAATTTTTTTTTCACCTTGGCATTTCCATGTTCTAGCGTCGTGGGAGAAATACTTGTCTGCATCACTTGCCCGTGTTTTGGCTGTATCTGCCCGCTGGGATGAACCTGTTACTTCTTGTCAGGCCGGTCACTCAGGCCTCACAGCTTCGTGTTGGGACTTTTCCTCCAGGGTCTGCATAAAGAACATTTTGGAAAAACAACGTCCCTGTTCCATCAGGCTCGGCCCTTCACCTCGATGGTGATGTGCGCTGGCTCTTGGCTGACTTGCATCTTCCTGGCTGAATTTGGTCGTGGTGGGGGACCTGCTAATCCTGACAGAAAACGAGCAGCAGGGAGGCCAGGTCCTTGGGCCCCACAGCTCCGAGTTCCCGTGGAGGCAACCATGCCCTGCAGTGCCAGCTGGAACCCACTCCTGTGCTGACTGCCCTCTCCTCAGGACCCCACTTGACTCAATGACCCTGGTGCCCAGCAGCTGGCCTGGGGGTGACAAGATGCTCCAGGCCCAGCGTGTGCATCCCCCACCTCTGCCAGGCTCGGGACTGACAGGCCCCATCTGCCACTGTGCCTGCAAGCTGTGTTCCTGTCACGGAGAAGTCTGTGCGACACACTGCAGTGGAAACTAGTTCAGGGAGGACATGTTTTAGAAGAGGATTGTTGTGCCCCTCCCCCATTACACACCCCCAGCCATGCCCGTGGCCCTCTGGGTCCACGGTGCTCACTTTGACAGCATCTCTATGGCAGCGCCAAGCGTACCAGCCACCACCTGTGCTAGTTCTCTAAATACAGCCAGGTAAGAACAACTGATTTCTAACGTGTGAGCCCCATCACAAAACGACTAAGACAACAGAATTGAAAAAGTTTATTTCCTTTTGAGTCTCATTCTTTTCTACCCAAAGGCATTCTACAAAGCTGCCAGTTAGTGTGGCAGCACACACGTGGCTTATACAGTCTCGTCGGGAGGACCTGATTGGCCAGCACAGCCGGGCGCTACAGGGAAGAGAGTGTAAGTCTTTGGTTTCAGGTGGCCCCAGTATTACCATACATTGTGTAATGAAGCTAGCACACCAGCACTGGAAACCTCTGTGGACACCACTGTAACAAATGTGGCCTGGATTTCTGGTCTACCAGAGTCCCAGCACACTGTAACACTGAGCAACAGAGAGGCGCCACGTGTGGCTTAAATAGAAGGAATTTCAGTTAAGAGGGAAGGTACTCAAATGGGACAGACCTTAGCTAATCATTCAGAAGTAAATGTAATTAGGTCCTTGCCTCACATGCTGTGCTGACAACTAGTACTGCAGCAGTGGTCCAGGAATAATACAAATTACTGCAAAATTTACTGCATTATTAGAAAAAGGGAGGTACCCTTTGTTGGGGTCAAAGATTGTTTCACAGGCCAGTGACATGACAGAGGAAGTACACACATTTAATTGTTTAAATTGATTTCTAACGCTCAGTTTACATAAAATAAATGTTTTGACCCCTCAAAATATTGAATTATCTAAAATCTACTTCAAAACTGCGTAAGTCCTACAAAAGTGTAACCATCAGAATGTTTTCAGTTACTACTAATAGAACATTTCTAAATCAATTGGGTGAAAAAACTAAGTTTGGTGTTTCACAGAAGTCGGGTAGAGGTGGCCTGGACAGCCTGGCAGCGTGGTGGCTGGATGCCATCATTCAAGTCCCAGGTTCTTCAAGTCTTCCTGCTCAGTCCACTGCTGGAAGACATCAGCAGGTAACTCTTCTAGATGAGTCTGTTCATGCAAGACCTCATTCCACTTCTGAACCTGAGACTTTCCAGAACTGCTGTGGACACTGTCTGTGCTTGCTTGTCTAGAGTTGGGTTCTGGGACCTGTCTAAGCCAAGTGCTGACAATTAGACATGCTTCTCAGTGCTCCAGGAAGCTAGCAGGTTGTGAGGAAAGATGGGTAACAAACCTGGCCAGCGAAGGAGGCACGAGGGAGCCACTCCACATGCTGCAACAAAGCCGCAGTATCATGTTCTCCATCCACTTGGTGATGGGAAGCAACAGAGTTTACAAACACCAGCATGTTTAAAATAGAGCTGTCACGCGGCCCGTGTGCTCTGTGTAAGCAGTGAGGTCAAGCCCAGCAGGGAGCAGCCAGACAGGGTGTCAAGGATGAAGGCCACCCCAGGATCTTCAACGACCTCACACACGGAGCCCTGACTCTTCTGACTCATACACAGTTGCAAACATCATTAAATAACACTGGCTTCTTTGTGGGTACCATACTTCACTAGCAATGATCAGCCGCACTGATAAATGCCAGGAACGAGTGCAGGCAAACTTTATCTAGTATTACTGCGGTGGGCTGCATATTAAGATATTAATATGGTGTTGCGAGTTAGAATGGATAAGCTTACCATATGGGTTACAAGTTACTCTAATAAGGATACAGTGCTTTTTCAAATGTGGTTCAAACTGAACATAAAACTTCTGCAATGTAATGAACTATGAAGCAAACAAAATACCCCACAAACATTCAGTTCAGTATTCTTTGAGGACTGTTTAGATAGGATTTTAATGCTGCTGACTTGATTAGCTGGCCTGATTACTTTGCCACTTTTATTACATCAAGAGTACATGTATTCAGGGTGGGTATCTTTTGTTTGTTTAGCATATATGTGTATGTATGAAACATTTGCTGTATCTGAAACCTGTCTCTTAGCAATGAACAATTTCCAAAAGTGTCTTCCACATTTCAGAGACTTCCCGTTATGGATTCCTTGGTGTGGAAAGCAGTTCAAATCCAAGGCTTTGAGTACTGGGCGAGTTTTTTGTTTTACTCCTGGACAGTCTGGTATTTTATGAGTCAGGTGGCTCCCACCTTGTAAGTTTCTAGATGGATCTAACTAGTGCACCGTGGCTTCGCACACCTGCTCATGTGCCATCACTTGGCGCCCACAGGGACTGCTTCCAGGAGCCCCTGTGGGGAGCAGAACCTGCAGACACGCAAGTCCCTTGGTTAATAGTTGCATATAACTTGAATACATCTTGTCAGATACTTTAATTCATCTCTCAATTATTTACAATATCTAATACCATGTAAATAGCTTGTACACTCTTTTGTTCAGGAAATACTGACAAGGAAGACAGCTGCGCATGCACAGACGGAAGTCCTTTTGTGTCATGTTTCTGGTGGCCTAAATTACTGCGCGTGGAACCCACAGACGTGGAGGGTTGACTGGCCGATGAAAGGCTGTCTCACATCAGAGGAGCCTTGCCACGTCAATCACGTCCCCGCTCCCTCGTCTGTGGATTCTCTGGTGGCTGTTGAATGCTGATTTGTGGTAGAATTTTTTCCCACACTCAGTACATTCATAGGGTTTTTCTCCTGAATGAGTCCTGTAATGCACAGTGAGGTAGGACATCCGGGAGAAGGCTTTCCCACACTCACTGCACTCAAAGGGCTTTTCTCCCGAGTGGATCCGGTGATGGATGGTGAGATAGGACATCTGGGAGAAGCACTTTCCGCACTCGCAGCACTCGTAGGCCTTCTCCCCTGTGTGTGTCCTCTGGTGTCTGTTCAGGGCCGAGTTCTGGCAGAAGGTCTTCCCACACTCACTGCATTCATAGGGTTTCTCTCCCGAGTGGATCCGGTGATGGATGGTGAGGTACGACATCTGGGAGAAGAACTTTCCACATATGTAACATTCGTAGGGCTTCTCTCCTCTGTGTATTCGCCGGTGTCTGCAGAGAGCCGAGTTCTGGTAGAAGGTCTTCCCGCACTCGCTGCACTCGTACGGCTTCACTCCTGAGTGGGTTCTGTGGTGGATCGTGAGGTACGACAGCTGGGAGAACAACTTCCCACATTCGTTACATTCGTAGGGCTTCTCTCCGGTGTGCACGCGCTGGTGCCTCATGAGGGCCGAGTTCAGGTAGAAGGTCTTCCCGCACTCGCTGCACTCGTACGGCTTCTCCCCGGAGTGGGTTCTGTAGTGGACGGTGAGGTAGGACAGCCGAGAGAAGAACTTGCCACATTCGTTGCACTCGTAGGGCTTCTCCCCCGTGTGCGTCCTCAGGTGAGTGGTGAGGGTGGACTTGCGGCAGAAGCATTTCCCACACTCGCTGCACTTGTAGAGTTTGACGCCTGTGTGAATTTTCTGGTGGTCGTTCAGTGCCGACTTCTGCGAGAAGGTCTTCCCGCAGTCATGACAGACATAGGGCCTCTCTCCCGAGTGTGTCCTCTGGTGCTGCGTGAGGTGGGTCTTCTGGCAGAAGGCCTTCCCGCAGTAGCTGCACGCGTAGGGCTTCTCCCCTGAGTGCGTGCGCAGGTGCTGAATGAGGTGCAGCTTCTGGTAGAAGTTCTTCCCGCACTCGCTGCACGCGTAGGGCTTCTCCCCCGTGTGGGTCCGCTGGTGCACAGTCAGGGTGCCCTTCTGGCAGAAGGCCTTCCCACACTGGCTGCATTTATAGGGCTTCTCTCCTGTGTGCGTCCTCTGGTGGATAACAAACTTGGACTTCTTACAGAAGGATTTCCCACACTCACGGCATTCGTAGGGCTTCATTTCCACGTGCGCTCTCTGACGCACACCGAGGCTGGACACTTGGAGAAAAGCTAATTCCGATGCATTCCAGGTGGAGGACTTCTCTTCCATGGGATGATCGAACACTGTATCCTTTTGGAATGCGTTTTGGCATTCAACGAATTCAAAAGGTTTCTCCAAAACACGAATTTTCTGATAAATGTTCTCTTCACTTATAGCGTAGGCTTCTCCATTTTGATGAAATCCACAGGATGCGTCTTCCAGCTGCATTTTCTCACGCTTAATGTGGGGCACTGGCTTCCCACACCCACTGCACTCACCAGGCTTCGTTCTTGCATAGCTCCCATCGCTACTGATGAATTCTGAGACACACGTCACACTGCTGTCACCTGAGTCACCTGTGCCGGCTCCGCTCGCTGCAGCATCCGGTGTCACGGCGGCGGCAGCTTTACCGGGAGCACTCTCTCCCTCTTCGGCCAGGACTTTGCTGCTGCTGAACACGGCTGCCTTTGCATGCTTATCTCCGCTTCCCGAGACTTTCTCCATCACATCACCAGCTTGCCGCACTTCATCTAGACAAAGGTACAGTTAGACACCTCTGTACACGTCCGGACAGAAGCAGCTCGCCATGCGTAGCTGTGCTTTCCCTTCATTTTGCCGATTCCGAATAACACACGGATACACTTTCCCAGGGTGGGGAATGCTGAACCAAACTGACAAAACCTAAATTTTCTTTCATCCTTACTACCTGACGGCATTTTGTTCAAGAGGGGGCACAGAGGGCACAGCAGACGTGAACCGATGACGGGCACGCTGACGGTTGTGACTGGCCGACAGGGACTCCAGGCAGCAGGCACTGACAAGGAGCGCTGCCGGACGAGGGGGGCCGGAAGCCACTCCAGGCAGGGGTTCGTCCTGGGAGCAGACTGGCATCTGACACCCGACTCCATGACAACTCGCAGAAATGGAGCACAGGCCGGAGTGCTCCCCACACTCGCCTTTGCTGTGGCCGCACCGTTACCAGTGTACCTCCTGCCCTCACTGTGCTGCTCTCTTCCTGTGCCAACCACTTCATCATTCAAGGAAGAGCTAGAACTCTGGCTTCAAGCAGGCTTCGCGTGGAAGCAGCACGCAGGAACATCTGTCCCATGGCAAGCATAAAACAGACACTACAGGCACCACCCTTCCAAAAGATTTCTTATAATCTTTTTACTTTTATAAAAAATTTGCCTATTTGAAAGGCACAGTGAGAGGAAGGAGATACCTCCACCACTGGTTTACACCCTGAGTGGCACAAAAACCAAATCTTGGCGAGGCTGAAGCCGGGAGCAGTTCCATTTCCCGCCCTGTCATTATCCCCTGCCTTTCCAGGCACACTGGCAGGCAGCTGGCCCAATGCAGCAGCCAGGAATGGAACGGGGCTCAGATACGGGATGCTGCAAGTGCTGACGTAAGCCTCTCTGCCACAAAGCTCGGCTAGACTCTTTACACAGGCAAATGATGCTGTGACTGACGCCTGAGCTCATCCTGACCGTGAAATTACGTTTGTTCCTGTTCAGACAGTGCAGCATGAACTCTGGTGAGGAGATCCAGGCGAGCCACTTGACAGCTCTCTGCACTTGACCGCACATGCCAGCAGCAGCCCCAGTCAAAGCTGAGTGCTCAGAGCAGTCTGCCCCACAACGCTTTCTTGGTAAGCTTCCTATCACTTCTCCCGTTTTCAGGGTCCTGATGATTTCCGCCGCCAGCTGTGTCCCTCACTTACCACCACCTGCTATTTCTCATGTGCTTCCTTCTCCGGAGTACATCAGATCCTTCAAAGCTTGCTTCTGAAGTGGTGACCTGTTTTTACTTAGGAACTGTGGATAAGCCTATGTTCTGTCACCCACACTGAGTGAATCATGGCCACTTCAGACTCCAGAACCTAGTTCTGCTGAATCCTCTGCCAAAATACCAACAAAGAAAACAGGGGGAAAAAGTCTCACAAACAATTTTTTTCACCACCTGAATTCACAATTTTTCCAGAACTGCTCAGTTTTGAGAAAATCAAGCTGCTTGTGAACACTGCAGCTCATGGGGCTTTGCCAAAGGGGAGGAACAGCTCTCCCCCAGCACCAAGTGCTGTCCAGGAGGCAGAGGCCTTGGCCGCTGGGCACTGTCCCTGTGTGCTGAGGTCTCTGAGTGGCCCTGTCCCTGGTCATGGTCCACAGGTCTTTCCTTGTCTTATTGCTTAACTACCAGCCCTCAATTATGCACAACTTATTTAAAAAAATTATTTTTATTGCAAAGTCAGATATACAGAGAGCAGCAGAGACAGAAAGATCTTCCATCCGATGTTCACTCCCCAAGCGGCCGCAACAGCCAGTGCTGCGCCAATTTGAAGCCAGGAGCCACGTGCTTCTTCTGGGTCTCCCACACGGGTGCAGGGTCCCCAGGCTTTGGGCCGTCCTTGACTGCTTTCCCAGGCCACAGGCAGGGAGCTGGAAGGGAAGTGGGGCTGTCGGGATTACAACTGGTGCCCATATGAGATCCTGGACGTGCAAGGCAAGGACTTTAACCACTACGCTGTCACGCTGGGCCCTGCACAACTTATTTTTAAAAATATGCTTCTCAGGCCTAGTACAACAGCCTAGCGGCTGAAGTCCTTTCCTTGCACATTCCAGGATCCCATATGGGCGCCGGTTCTAATCCTGGCAGCTCCACTTCCCACCCAGCTCCTTGCTTGTGGCCTGGGACAGCAGTGGAGGACAGCCCAAAGCCTTGGGACCCTGCACCCGCGTGGGAGACCCGGAATAAGCTCCTGGCTCCTGGTTTGGATCTGTTCAACCTTGGCTATTGCAGCTGCTTGGGGAGTGAATCAGCTCTGTATATCTGACTTTCCAATAAGAATAAATCTTTTTAAAAAAAATACACTTCTCAATCCATTCACTGAATTAACCATATTTCCCTTGTAGATGAAAATAATGACTGTTCGGACAGTGACTCTGGCATACAGATTCAGCCTGCAGTAGGAAATCAGACGTGTGAATACCGAGTTTCATATTACTCTGTGCATGCTGCACTCTGATCCAAAATTTGTCTCTGCTTCAAACTCTCGAACAGAAATCAGACAGGCTGTTCTCAGTCTGAGTCATGTGGGCATTAAAAAACAACAAAAAAAACCCCAGCAACAACGGGCCCAGCGTGATAACCTAGTAGCTGCATCCTTGCCACATGGATGCTGCTTCCCACCCAGCTCCCTGTGGCCCGGGAAAGCAGTCGAGGACGGCCCAAAGCCTGGGGACCCTGCACCCGCGTGGGAGACCCGGAAGGAGGTGCTGGCTGCTGGCTTTGGATCGGCTCAGCTCCAGCCGTTGCAGTCAGCTGGGGAGTGAAGCAGTGGATGGAAGATCTTTCTACATATTTGCCTTTCTAATAAAAAGAAATAAATCTTTAAAAAAAGTTAAGTGTATAGCCAAGTAAAGTTCTTTTTCGTAAGATAATCAAAGAAATGAGTGTCTATATGGCATGCCACATCAAGGGGGGAAAATACGTCCTGTATAATCTGATAACGGGAGAGCAAAATAGCTCATGTAAAACGTATATTCTACCAAGTGCCACATTTTTGGAGCAGATACACTCTTTTTAAAAAGTATTACTCCCAGGTGGAACTGATCCCGAGGAAGCAAAGGCAGCAGGGTAGGTGGGTAGACAGGACCAACTTCCAGGAAAGGCTGGAGCACTAAGCTCAGCCCGAAGGGAGCCCAGCCCACTCCAGGGACGGACACTGCCGGGTAACAGCTGCACAAGAGAACGCAGCAGCAGCGCTGGGCCAGACGGGCTGGGGAACAAGCCACACTCACCTTTTCACATACAGCAGGCTGGCAGACAGGCAGACAAAGAGGAGCAGGCATGCGGCCTAGTGGCTGAGACGCCAGCCAAGGCTGCCCATGTCCTGGCCAGCGTTGCAGTGGAGTGGGCAAAGCCACCTCACGATAACAGTATCCCATGTGGGCGCTGGTTCAAGTCCCAGCTGCCCCACTTCTGATCCAACGAATGGCCTGGGCCCCTGCCATTCATGTGGGCGACTGGGACAAACCTCCTGGCTTCAGCCGGGCCCTTTCCACTGCTCTGACCAAATGGGGAGTGAGCCAGTAGATATATCTGTCTCTCCCTTTCTCTGTAATGTTTTCAAATACATGATTTTTTTAGAAGAAGTATTGCCCATATTCCAAATTAGAATACCTGGGTTTAATACACAGCTCTAGATCCTTGCTAACGAAGACCCCGAGGGGCAGCAGCAACGGCTCAGGGTATTGGGTTCGCAGCATCCACGCGGGAGGCCTGGACAGAACTGCCAACTTCGGCCTCGTTCAACGCCTAGCTGCTGGGTCCAGCAGATGGGAGCGCTCCCGTGTCCGCCTCTGCCCTTGGACGGACTCCAGCATACGGCAGCGATCCCTCGGCCGCTCTGCGCGAACAGGTCACTTACCTGTGACCCTGCTGGGCATCTACTGGGACAGGATGCTCTCACAGGCACTGGGAACAGGACCACAAATCAGAGGAAGCGAGCCCCTGGGCAAGGGGGCAACCATGCACTGCTGTCACAGGGCTGGATCTCAGGGCCGGCTCGGCTCTCAAGAGGAGCCCCCCCAGCAAAAGCAGGGCTGAGGAATCAAAGCTCCCAGGAAGAGAAGTCAAAAGCGGAAGAAGGGAGAGAATTAAGTCCAAGACACTTCACACTAAGTGGGAAAATGGAGGACAAGAGAATCACACACATGATTTTTTTCAGTACAGATTTCTGAATGCCAGCGGAACCTATGATGTTGTGTCACTGACGAAGCAGAGGCAGCAAGAACCCAAGGTTTCACAGAGGGCAGCCGCCCTTGATCCTGAGTGAGCAGCACAGCCCTGCTCTGGAACAGCTCGATACGGGAGGAGGGACTCTCGGAGAGGGAGGCAGGTCACGCCCCCAAGTCAAGTGCTGAGGGTCCAGGGCCATCAAGGCGGCTGTGGGAGGCACCTGCAGGCAGCCCCCACCGTCCCCATGCACACACCTGGACAGCGCGGAAGCAGCAGCTCTCCTCCTGCTAGCCAAGGCTCTTCTCCTCGCTCCAGCTTGGTTATGACGTCAGGTTTGACCATGTGATACCCTGTTCACAGGAAACGAGACTGAGCCTGGCTGCCCGGGGTCACTGCCACGTGGGAAGGGCACTGCTGCACGGGTTGTACCAGAGAACCTGGGGGTCAGGACCAACAGTGTGGCCTGGAGCCCCAGCGGTCACATTTGTCCTGTTAGAATCTGAGTGAAGCCTTTAACTTGAGAAGCCCCACGTAGTTAGCAATGGAGAAGGGGCACTCCTCACCCACGGCCACGAGGTGGCTGTAGTTCTCCAGCATCACCTCCCGGTATGTCCTCCTCTGCACCGGCTCCAGCTGCTGCCACTCCTCCTGTGTGAAGCCCACGGCCACGTCCTTGAACGACACGGGCCCCTGCAACGGCAGTGAGATGCCAAGTGGGACGTGTGGGAAAGGGGCAGGAGGACATACCATGCTCGCTGCGCAGGAGACCTCGTGGCACACATCCCGTGTCACAGTCAGCCCCGGGTGCACCTGCTGTTCTGCAGACCCTCCCTCTGGATTCCAGCAGGCCTGCAGCTTTGGCTTCCCTTCACCTGCCAAGCCAACCTGACCCCGTGCCCTCTGCTGGCTCCCTCCTGCCCGACCAGCTGGATGCTGGAAGGGCCTGGTGCTCGCTCCTCCCCTACCGGCTGAACACTGGAGGGGCCTGGCACTCTGCCCCTGCCCATCTTATCCATGCTCCTTCCTGCTCTGACACTGTGCCCCTGGTTTTGTGACTCACTGTGCTGCCATCTAAACGAATGCCTCCTCACTTCTGTTACTCGCTCACGCCTCTCCTTCAGACATGCACGCTCCAGGCTCACTCTGCCTGATGCCCCGCTGCTGCTCCAACTTGCTCCTCTAGGAGCCGGTCTGCAGTATTGGCTGCAGTCACCGAGGCGACAAGCAGGCCAGGCAGCCGGGGTCTAGCTGACTTTACAGCAAGGTGGGCCCACAGCAGGTCCGCCACAGCCGGCCACGAGAAGGGTCGGGAGGCGTGTGGCCTGGCTGTCCCTCTGAGCTCCCTTTGCTCTCATCTCCGGGGGGCAGGACGCGTGCCTACAATGAGCCCGGCTGCTCCCTGAGCTGTCCCATCAGCAGTGCTCACAGCTCAGTGTCACCCCTCACACACCACAGTGTCAGCGTCAGGCCAGCCCTACTTACCACTGCTACTGATACCGCTGACTGACCCTAACCTTAGCACTGCTCACAGCAGGGCCACACATGTGAGGGAAACATGACTAAGCTCCAGCAACTGCCCCGAAAAGGCCAGGAAACGGCCAAGGCAGAAGGTTCCGACGATTTCAACAGAACGTGGCGGTGGGAGTGCGCACGAGGCGGGCGCGAAAGGCCATAGTCTGGCTGAAGGCTTCAGGATTTATCTGTGGACAGCTCTCCAGGACGCCGCCCGGCTCTCTGGTCGCAGGTGCCGAGTGTCCAGGCAGCCAGCGTGGCCAGCCTGGGGAAGCGCAGAGCGGGCAGGTGCACAATGAGCTGGTCCTGGCCTAGACTGCCCTGCCACGTGACAAGGATTCCTGCAGCTGCACCTGTCCTTGCCCCTGGCAGCCCAGCTGTGACGTCCACGCTGACAAGCAGCAGCAGGCAAGTTCACACGTTGCTGTACTGTGCCTTGCTGAGGGTCATAACCCCCTGTTAGCACAAGTAAGTCTGACTTCCTCTACCAGGGCGTGTCCCGGGCAGCCCACTTCTCCCCTGGGCAGTACAGTCTTGGCAAAGGCGGTCATCTTAGACCTTCACGAGAAATGTGAAGGAAGCTGTCGATTCAGGAAAATCTGAAAGGAGAAGTCCGCGATCAAGAGCGGATACAAGTAAGGGCGGTCACGTCCAAGCCTGAGACCACGAGTGTGCATGACGTAACCACGGCAGACCGACGAATCTGTGTTCAGCTAGAATCTCTCATGTTAAAAAAACCTCAGTGCTGGGGTCCTTGCAGTGGGTGTGGATGACACAAGGGTGTGAAGGGAACAGCTCCCTGCTTGGCAGGGCCTGGGGAGCTTCCAGCTGTTTGGCAGGGCCCGGCGGGTTTCTCTCTGACCACCTTGACGCAGTCTCACCCCCTGTTTGCATGGACACTCAAGTACCCCGCTAAGAATTCTGTAATCTATTGAGGCATTGTTTGCCCCTGTGAGATGGCTTTGGCAACTACTGTGAGCTTAAGAGTTAATGTTATTGATGTCTTGGTGAGTGGGCCTTTAACT